ATCCGAAATGGCTTTTCATTTAAAGAGAGAGAAGTAACTAAAAGATGTCTAGCTAATCAAAGTTTGTTAAGTTCTGAGATACTATTTCCATATAAATATGTCTGCTTTGAAAATACTTAGTGAACTAGATAGAATTTTAAAAACCAGAGGGGAAGGAAACAATATAAAGAGCCTGCCACGTGGTGCTTAATATTCTCACGTGTAGGGGCGCCTGGCTCAGTCGGTTGAGTGTCTGACTTCGGCTCAGGTCATGATCTCGTGGTCCATGAGTTCGAGCCCCGTGTCAGGCTCTGTGCTGACAGCTCGGAGCCTGCAGCCTGCTTCGGATTCTGCGCCTCCCTCTCTCCCTGGCCCAACCCACTCGCATTCTGTCTCTGTCTCTCTCATAAATAAATAAACATTAAAAAAATTTTTTTTTAAATTCTCACGTGTTTCCTTTTATCTCTCAGCTATCCTGAGTCTTCATTTGGGAATGAAACTGAAACTCAATTAAAAGTAAATTAACTTATCCAATGCATGGAGGAAAGGCTATTTTTAATAGAAAGTCATCAGTTCCATAACTGGTTGAATATGAGTATATTTTAAACTCTTAAGAAGCTCTTTTCTTTTTGAATGGAATTTTAATATGGAATTGCTCACTGTTTTCCATTAGACGCTGAAGCATCTGTGCTTAGAATGGTTCATCGCATCTTGAATATAGATCTTCTGTGCAAAGTCAGTCCCTGTTAAAGGAAACAGAATCTCTGGTTCCTTCCAAATGAAACTTTAGCAGAATAAAAGATTTCTGTGCACACTAGCAGTAATCTACATGATTTGGTTTGTTTGGAACTGTCAGTTCTCTGTCATTCCTGGGGCTTCCCTGTCCTTGAGCGGGAATGTTCCTTAACTGAGAAGTGGGTCCAGAAATGTCACACTGCTTTGTGGTAGTTTTTTCATGCCCTGATGCTCCATGTTTAGTCCTTCCTGTCCTCTGTTGCCACCTTCTCCGTTTCCGTGGGAACTAAAGAAGACAGCTGCCTTTTTTCTTAGCAGTGTGAACGCAGTGCTAAGGAGGTCATCAGATGCGAACCGCGGAAGGAGGAAGGAAGTTTGACTTGGCGGTCTTGACTCTACGTCTGCTGTGTGCCACAGTCTGCTGGTGCTGGAGAGAGCCAGACCTGCCTTGGTCGCACAGCCTCTAGGGGCAGTTGTTCTCGAGAATGAGGCGCTGAGCTGCATCTGGGGTCGCGCTCCCAGCTGCTCCTGTCATGTGCCTTTCTTCAAACCACATACGTCCTCTCCCTGCCTTCTCACGTTTCTAAAGCAGATGTGTTTTACTTTTAACAACAGCAAATCGCACTGTTATTTTGTGCCAAGCACTGTGTTAACGTAGATTACACAAGTTATCACCTTTTGTCATTACAGTATGTAAACTGTCATTTCATCTTGTAGACAGGGAAGCTTAAGGCACAGAGGGGATGAGGAGGTCATCCCAGGGATCGGGGCCTGCGAGTGGAGTCTGGGATGTGAAACTGAGCATCCAGACTGTTGTGTTGTGTGTGCTTTGGTTACAGTCTTTGTAGATATGATTTCCTATAGAAGGTCGCCCGCTTTGTGGAGTAACGGGCGGGTTTGGGCATTAAAATGTAACTGCTAAGAATTTGCATCTGTGGCTTGCCCTTTCATATCCTAACAGAGTCTTCAAAAAAGTTTTAAGATTTTTGCCTAAGTGCAGTTTATTGATTTTTCTCTCCTAAAATTTTTGCCTTTTCTGCCCTATTTTAGAAGGTTTATAGTTTCAGCATGCATTTAGGTCTCTGGCCCGTTTCGAGTGTATATCTGGTGTAAGGCCAAGGCTCCTGTGTCTAAATACGGATATCCGTCACCACTTATTGACAAGGTTATTCTTTTCCCCATTGTTTGAAATAAATTGATTTCATATATACAGGTCTGTTTGTGAACCATTTATTCTGTTGGCACTGATCTATATGTGTATCCCCATGCCCGTACTACACTATCTTGATTACCCTTGCATTACAGTAAGTTTTGAAATCTGGTGTAGTTAAGTCTTCTAAATTTGTTCTTTTTCAAAGGTGCTTGGCTGTTTTCGGTCCTTTGCATTTCCATATAAATTCTGAAATCAATTGTCAATTTCTGCGTAAAAGCTTGCTGGTTTTTTACTCCAATTGCATTGAATCTGTAGATCCATCTGGGAAGAAGTGATATCACAACGATATTAAATGTTTGGATCCAAAAGCACAGTATTTAGGTCTTCTTTAATGTCTCTCAGCAGTGTTTCATGGTTTTAGAGCATACAAATTTACACACATTTTGCAAAAGTTAACCACATTTGCCAAAATAAATTCTTAGTTTCCTGTTTTTTCACACTACTGTAGATGGCATTTTTAAAAATTTTATTACATGCTGATAGCGTGTAAACATACGGTTGATTTTTGTATATTGATATTTTCTTCTGTAGCCTTGCTTAACTTATTTATTATCTAGTAACATCTAAAAATAGTAACGTTTCTTAGGATTTCCTACATGGAGAGTCATGTCATTGGTGTATAAGTACAGTTTTATTTCTTTCTTTTAATCTGGATGCCTTTTGTTTTTTTTGTTTTTTTTGTTTTTGTTTTTGTCTTGCCTGGAGTGCCCTGGCCAGAACCGCTAGTCTAGCTTTGACCAGAACTGGTGAGAGTGGGCGTTCTTGCCTCGTTCTGCGTCTGTGGCAAAAGCACTCATCCTTTCCCCATTCCTGAGGTCTTAGACCCACCATGCATTCAGTCACCCTCTTGTTACTCTCCTTCATAACATCTTGCTCCTTTTCTACACGGTCATATAAGTGTAATTACATTTTTATTTTCTTTCGTTTAAGTTTATTTCCAGTGAGACAGAGACAGTGCAAGTTGGGGAGGGGCAGAGAGAAAGAGAAACGCAAGCAGGCTCCGCACTGCCAGCACAGAGCCTGATGTGGGGCTCAAACTCACGAACTGAGATCATGACCTGAGCCGAAACCAAGCGTCAGACGCTTAACCAACTGAGCCACCCAGGCACTCCTGTGTAATTATTTTTTTAAAACTTATTTGTTCAATGTACTTTTTTCTCACTTGTCTCCAAAACCATATCTATTTCATTACCCTCCATAGTACCTGGCACATAATAATAGGTGTATAAGAAATATTTCTTGAATGAATTGTTCATTCTTGCCTTCTTGCTGACCATCAGTTCTCTTTTTAATTAAACATGTAAAGAGACAGAAAATAATAACCACTTGAATTATTAATCATTCAAATCATGAATCATTTTTATTTAAAAAAATTTTTTTTAACATTTATTTATTATTGAGAGACAGAGAGAGACAGAGCATGAGCGTGGGAGGGGCAGAGAGAGGGGGAGACACAGAATCTGAAGCAGGCTCCAGGCTCTGAGCCCCAACACGGGGCTCGAACTCACAAACCGCAAGATTATGACCTGAGCGGAAGTCGGATGCTTTACCAACTGAGCCACCCAGGTGCCCTGAATCATTTTATTTTTGAATGCTTGAACTGAAAGCTAAAATCCATCAGTAATTGCTTTCATGGTGTTGAATACAAACTTCACTTATTTAAAATGTATTCTCCTGATAGTGAATTTGTGGTTTTTGGAACTAATTTTAATTTTTTTCCTGTTTTTCCTTCTACTTACTGGAATATAATAAGGAATTCTTAACTTTTTTTCTTAATTTTACCCATTTTTCTACATTTTCTTGGTAGCTCTGGTTAATCTTTATTATCCAATATTAAGGTACATAGAAATCTATTAATTTCTATGTTTGGCAAAAATAGTGGGCTCCAAAGACAATGTATGTAGATAAATAAAAAGTTAATCTATTTTCAGGGAAGCTGAAAATGCAGAATTGTAGAGCCACCATTAATTCAAGTTTTTCACCTAGAAGATTGAAAGAGAGTAATCATAAGCTTGTCTAATGAAAAAATTTGAACTGTCACAAAGGTTCATTAGGTAGGAGTTTTACAATCAGAAATCATTCAGATAAGGGAATGCTTCTGTACTAGACATCTAGACAGACAGCATTACCCACGATCTGATGAGGGTGGATTAAATGAACAGAATGTTCTTTCCTTCTCTCCCACTATCCTTTTGTTTCCTGTATTCTGTTTGTACTGGAAAAGATTTGATATGAATGCCTTACTTTTGTCTTTTGGCTGTCACTTAACCATGTTGGTGTAGTTTTGGTAACTCAGTTCTCAAGTTAGGAGTTTCTCCCAATATTGTATTGTATGTTAACTAATTAGATTTTTTTTTTTTACTTTTGAAAAGAAAGAAAAAAATCAAGTTAGGAGTTTCTCATTGTATATTTTTATGGTTTCTGTCTGTATTTTTCCAAGCAGATAGAAGTGAAAGCTCAGATGAATTGATTACTTAGTAAACATTCACCTTCCTTTTTTACTTATACATGCATTATTTCAGTTTATGAAACTGCTAATAAATTGAATTATTTAAAATGCAGTAAGGGAGCTCCGTAAAATAAGAACACTGTGGGAATCTTTTACAATATGAATAGTTAAGTATATTTTATACTGTGGAAATTTAGATATTGCCTCAAATGAGATGTGCTTTTCTTATCCATACTTAGGGACACTGATGTGTGACATTTGCAACTTTTAAAAAAGTCGTTTTTCAGAATCTTAGGGCAAAAAAGCTCTTTATGAGTCAGCATTTCATGGGCAAATTTTTAATTAAGGAATATTAGTGTGTAATTAGAAACATTGTTAGATTCTTAATGATTGACCTACCAGTGTATGTAGGACTGCATTTTAAATATAATCCGTTTTAAGACTTAAATGCATTTTTTTTTTTTTTTTTTTGCATTTCGGTTGCTCTGCTAGAAATGAATCATGTGTAAAATGAATATACAGTTTTCCCACCATAGAATCTACTCCCTTCACATTGGCATTAAGTTAACAAGAACCACAAAAAAAGCTCACACGAAACAAACCATATTTCTTTCTGCTTCACAGATGTATCTTGTGATTTTTCCAGAAGGAACAAGGTATAATCCAGAACTAACAAAAGTTATTTCAGCTAGTCAAACATTTGCTGCTAAAGAAGGTAAGTAAAACTTTGACAGTATTTGAAAAAATAATTTTTAAATACCTTTGCAGTTTTTCTTCCTGGAGAAGATATTTATTTATGTTCTACAACAATGGAAATGAATTCACTGATTCATTTCTTTGGTGAGTGCATATATTAATTACCTCTTAGGAGATGAAGTTTCTCAATTAATTCATATGCGTGTTATTATATATGTCTGAAAGATTAAATTCAAGTGCTTGCTAAATACGTATTTCAGTGCCATGGGTTTATTTAAAATCTGCCTAGGTACCTGACTGTGCAGATGGAGGCTTTTTCTTCGTTGTGGCTTCTGTGTGGTGGAAAGGATTTGTGTTCTGTGGGCTCACAGACCTGGGTTGGAATCCAGACTCTGACGTGTGCTAGCTATGTGGCTGCAAGTTGCCTCGTGTTACAGACCTTGTTTTCTCGTCTCTTAAGAAACACGTACCTCATAGGCATACCTAACTGGGTGTGAGAATGAAGCTAGAAGATATGTGAGGTTCCTGTTGGAGCATGTTACACAAAGTACTTGGAAATTATTAATGTCCCCCAAGACAGGAATGTTTCCAGTGTCCTTATTTTAGAATGTCAGACAACTAATACACCTATAAGCTGTTCACTGTAACCAAACTGGGATGTCAACAGAAAACAGTGGCCATGCCGTGTTTTCAAAGTTGTCCTTGAAGATTGAGTTAGTATACGATCTCCGTACATGGATCACCAGACACTCACTGAGCAGATGTCTTGTTGATGGCGTTCTGCCAGGGTCTGTGCAGTGCTGTCTGGAAGGATTGGCTGCAGCAGTGGTAGTGTTTTCTCTGCCTGCTCTCCCCAGCGTGGTAGCTCCTGCCCACATGAGGTGGTGTATCGGGGAAATGAAGTTTTAATTTTGTTAAATTTTTTTTTAATATGAAATTTACTGTCAAATTGGTTTCCATACAACACCCAGTGCTCATTCCAACTAACTTTGTTAATTTTAATTAATTCATTGTGATATGAAACAGAATTCTTGATACTTGTCCTTATTGAAATTCCTTCCCTAGACTTCTGTAGGGCTTGTCTCCATTTCCTTCTCCCCGTCGGGTGATTCCTGCTCAGTCTCCTTTCCAGCCTTCTCTTCTGCTTCACTCTCTCCCGTTTCATATGTTGTGTCTGTTGTTGGCTGGTCTCCCATTCATTGCATTTTCGTGTTTCCCTGTGGGCTTCATCCACATCCCTAGCGTTGGCCTCCATTGATTTGGTTGCTGATGACTCACAAAAACCTTTCTCCCATCCATATCTCTGACTTTAGACCTAGAGGTTTGGTTGCCCAGTAGACAACCTCCCTCAACCAGCCCAAAGGCCAGTGATGCTCAGCATCACTCGTCAGGGAAACACAAACCAAAACCACAAGGAAACATCACCTCACAACTGTCAGAATGGCTAAAATCAACAACACAGGAAACAGCAGGATGTCTTTGGTGAGGGTGTGGAGAAGGAGGAACCCTCGTGCACTGCTGGTGGGAATGCAGGTTGGTGCAGCCGCTCTGGAGAACAGTGTGGAGGTTCCTCAAAAAGTTAAAAATAGAACTAGAACTACCCTGTGGTCCAGCCATTGCACTGCTAGGTATTTACCCAAAGGATACAAAAATACTGACTCAGAGGGACACATGCACCCCAATGTTCATAGCAGCACTATCAACAACAGCCAAAGTATGGAAAGAGCCCACATGTCCATTGACTGATGATTGGATAAAGATGTGGTATATGTGTGCATATAAATACATAAATAAATACACACTCAGCCATCAAAAAGAATGAAAGCTTGCCTTTTTCAACGATATGGGTAGAGCCAGAGAGTATAATGCTAAGCAAAATCAGTCAGTCAGAGAAAGACCTGCATCATGTGGTTTCACTTATATGTGGAATTTAAGAAACAAAACAAACGAACATGGTGGGGGAAAAAGAGAGACAAACCAAGAAACAGACTCTTAGCTATAGAGAACAAATTGATGGTACAGAGGGAGGTGGGCAGGGGGGGTGGGTGAAAGAGATGATGGAGATAATGGAGTACGCTTGTCATAATGAGCACCAGGTGAGGTGTGGAAATGTAGAATCACTATAATATACACCTGAAACTAATACAACACTGCGTGTTAACCTACTGAAATTAAAATAAAAGCCTAAAAATAACCTATCTCAAGGGAGAACTAAAAGTTAAAAATCAAAAAAATAATAAAAGCATATCTTACAACAGAAGTCATAGGTACATGGCTTTTTTAAAAAAGGGTTTTATGTCCAAAAGTGTTAGAGAATGTTGCATTTTCTATCCTTCCCTTGGGGAGGTACAGTTCACATTTATGTATTAGTCTCAGAAAAGTGCTGTTGTAAAGATGTCTGATTTTGTGTATTGAGCTGGGTTTTTTTTAATGTTTGTTTATTTTTGAGAAAGAGAGCGTGAGCGAGCATGAGTGGTGGAGGGGCAGAGAGAGGAAGACCCAGAATCCAAAGCAGGCTGAGAGGTCAGCACAGAGCCTGATGCGGGGCTCGAACCCACGAACCACCAGATCATGACCTGAGCTGAAGTCGGACAAACAACCGACTGAACCACCCAGGTGTCCCTATTGAGCTGCTCTCTAATTTTCATATTTTAGAAAGGAAACAGTGATCTAAAAAATACTAAAATTTGGAACTTTTGTGGGGTAAATGTTTAGAGTTGCAGAAAATTCTGTCTCTAAGATTATTCCTTCTCTAAAGATTCTAGATGGCTGAGTTCTGACTTCAACAAAATGTATATTTTACTCTGAAACTTAAAATAGCTTATAGATGAGTCAGTTGTGGGATTCTTTTTATGTGTGGGGTGGGGAGGGGGGATTCTTGATAAACTTGAATATAGACCTTACACTATATAAATTTTCAAATACTCTTATGTGTCGTCTCGTGTAGCCATGTTAATTGTGTTCCAGAGTTATAGTTTTGGATTAGATAAGGTGAAAGGGAAATAATAGACATGTGGGGAATTTTTTTTCTTGCTGCTTTTCACGTGTAGTGTAAAATTTGACACATTTCGTTGTTACTGTGTGATCGATTTCATCTTGAAACACTTGTGTTTTTTATGAGTTGAACAGAGTTGGCCTTGAGAGAAGTTTCCTGGAGTGCATTAGATGCTCAGAGTCTGCTGATTTTGTTTTTAAAACAGTACAGTATTCTACCTTTAAATATTAACAAATCTTTATTAAATTTTGAATATGTAAAACGTTCCACTAAGGTGGTGGAACTAACTCTGATGTTTTCCAGGAGGTTATAATTAAATAGCAGAAATGAAACAGAGTTGTATTCATCATCTGTTGACGTGTAACAAATTATCCCAAGCCCTCGCCGTGGCCTCAAACAGTAAACATGTGTTATCTCCCAGTTGATGTGGGCCAGGAGTCCCGGTGTGGTTTAGCTGGCGGCTTCTTGCTCCGGGACTGTCACTGGCTGCAGTCATTTCAGGACCCCCCCCCCAGGGAGGATCTGGTAAACGCCCTCTCACATGGCTGTCGACAGGCCTCAGGTCCTCCCTGGCCGTTTCTTGCCACTTGGGTCTCTCCCCTGAGCTCTTCAGGACATGACCACTCACTCCCCTCGATCGCCAGAGCAGAGAGGGGTGGGGAGGGACCGTGGAGGACTTAGTGGAACGGTGAGAGAGCACAGAGTAGGGTGAGCAAGACAGAAGTCACGGTCTTCCTGTAACCTAATTCTGGAAGTGACGTCTCGTCTTTTCGCCATATTTTATGTGTTAGAAGCACATCACTAGGTCCAGCCACGCTCAAGGGCAGAGTACATGGGAGTGTGAACACATGGGGGTAGTGGGGGACCAGTTAGAGGCTGCCTACCTCAGCGATGTTGAAATCCGATTTCTACGCAGTTACGTCAAGCTAGAATAAGGTAGGGATAAGCAAGTATGCTTTAGGTTAGATTACCTGCAGATGTGGGCTCAGCAGGGCTGTGTGGAGGGGGAAACACTCGGGGGGGGGGGGGGCGGGCTGGGAAGAATCTCAGCAGGTGGAGGTGAGGAAGGGCTGCGTTTCCGTGGGAAGGAATGGGTGAGAGGCGGGGAAGGGGAACCGTGAGAGCCGTCCTGTCCTCTCGAAGGAGCAGCGGGTACGGGGGGAGGGCAGACGAGCGAGAAGCTGGAGTGTTCTTGCTTACGTGGGAGGTCCTGCCCCGGACTCTGCAGAAGTCCAACTGATGGAGCGGGGATCCACTTTCCGAAGACCCCGGCGTGCCGTTTTCCAGCAGTTTTGCCTCTTGGAATGTGTGATGCCCTGCTTCATTCATTTTAAATGTGTTAACACAGACGTTTTATTATATCTTGTCGCTGGGCAGATCGCCACTTGTTGAGGTATGATGAGTTTGCATGACAGAATGGGTATAATCCGGGATTACTGTGTTTGTGTGAAAAGTGACGTAGAATTCTTGTGTGTTTTGGTATTCGAGGAGTTCTGACTTCTTTTGTAAAATTTACCTGAGAGTGTGTGTGTGTTCCGATTTGAATATTGCCATACTGCTTTCAGTTGGGCAAAACAAATGTTTATGTGGAAATAGTTTATTTGCTGTGTAATAATTATTCAGCGTTGTGATCTCAGTCTGGGTTTTCGGGCCTGTGCTAATCCCCTTGGCCGCCGTGATGAGACAGCACGCTGGGGGCTTAAACAGACGCTGATTTTCTCACAGCCCTGAAGCCAGAGAGTTCAAGATCAAGGTGCCCACGGGGTTGGTTTTGGTGAGACTTCCCTTCCTACCTCGTAGCTTGGTCTCCCTTCTGGCCGTGCCTTCACGTGGCCTGCTTTCCGTGTGCTCGCACACAGAGGTCTCTTTCTATGAGGAGACCGGTCCTGTCGGATCAGGGCCCCACGCTTAGGACCTCATTTCACCTTAATTACCTCCTTAAGGCCCCGTGTCCAGCTGCAGTCACGTTGGGGGCGGGGAGTGGCTGAGACACACACAGGGTCTTCACTTATCTTCCTCTCTGGAATTATATTTAATACTAATGTTTCTTAACTTAGTATTTTTAAAACAAGTTAAGATGAATATTTACCTTATGTCTTACAATCTTACGGAGATGACTGTTTAATACAGCTCCCAGAAGTTACTTATCTCTTAAAAATCCACACTAATTTCGTAATGCCAGATCAAGTGTTTTTAAGTAATTCTCAAAATGGCATAATAATGACATACACTCTTTTTGATCTGATAACACCGCCACTCACCTATAATCGATCAATTATTGGTCTGTCATTTTTCCCTGAGTTGTAGATCTCTCTCAAAGTTACCAAAAGGGGGGAAATGAATAATTTGTCCTGTAGATAATAATTTTTCATTGCTGACTGTTCTTTCTTTAAATTCTTCAACTGGGAAAACTCGGTATCTATTAGAACTATATTTTCTTGTGACTGTAAAGGTAATTATTTCCCACCGTATACAAAAGAAATTGATTTGTGAACTGTATATCTAAAGGAAAGAGAGGAGGAAACCACTTCCTGTTTTCTTTCCTCTTAGGTCACAACTAATTGAGATTACTTAAAAATAAAAATGAGAGGCGCCTGGGTGGCTCGGTAGGTTGAGCATCTAGCTCTTGATTTTTGGCTTAGGTCGTGATCGCACAGTTTGCGGGTTCAAGCCCCACTCCACGCTATGTGCTGATAGCACAGAGCCTGCTTGGGATTCTGTCTTTCCCTCTCTCTCTGCCTTTCCCTGTTCGTGCTCTCAGTAAATAAATTCCTTAATTTTTAAAAAATGAAACAACTTGTTTATCTGTTAAGCTAATTTTTCTTCAAGAAAGATGAATCTTAGCACTTGTCAGTGTATAATATTTAAAACATTATTATTATTCTGAAAGTAACTTCCTTTGAACATGACAAAAAATAAATAGAAAAACCAAAGCCAACCTTTTTAATTTGGATTTTTAAACGTGTTTAAATAATTATACCTTATTTTCCTCTCCAGTTTTCTGTCAGCAGTTACATTGACTGGCCTAAAAAGTATGGGTGATGGGTATGGTTTGTCTGTCTTAACTCTAAATATTTGAAGGTTCTGGTTATTGCTATTTCCTAGAAGTGTTTTCCTTCGAAAATGTGTTTGCCACACACTCTGTCCATTCGATATCAGGGGTGTTCCTGAAGATGATGTCTGTGTTACCGTGTCATGAATTCTTAATGTTTACTTCACAGTTTGTCATGACAATGCTTTCTAAATTTCTCACTGAAAACTGAATGTTAGTTATTTCTTTAAAGCAGACATTCATATTTTTAAATAAATTAGTCAAGATTTTGTTTTTAGTTACAGTCTCTCCAAGACAAAAATTGAGATCTGGAGAGTTCTGAAATATAGGTAGAGTCTCCAAGCAGCTACTAAACGTCAAGTAAGCGAGGTGTATATTGAGGGCTGCTCAATTTTGTAACAGTAAGTTAGGGAAAAGAGAATTTTATTTTCAGAATGGCTGACATGGAACTTGTCATTTAAAAAATCAGTGGTGAAACATTTAGTAAGAAAAGCTTCAACATGTCAATAAGACAGTATTATGTAATTGTATTATAAATATAAGTGAAATGGTATGATAGGTAAAAACGATCATCCTATATGTTAGTAAGATGTTTTGCTAAGTGATTAGATGAATGTAAGTCCAACAAACTGGTCACGGAGTGACCTCTTCCTCTGACCTCCCCAGCCAGCTCATTTCCGCGGCAGGTTTCAGCTCTTATCGCTGTGTTGTGTGGTCGGCTCTCCATTCGTTCATCTCTGTGGTGATTTGTGGGTGCAGAATGCTGCCTGCTCCCAGAAGGGCCACAAAATGAATGTCAGGGGCCTCGATTACTATTGAATGAAGGATCATAGATGGCTCAGGAGATAAAAAACAGAAAAGAAGCACATTGGAAAACCACACTCAAGAAGACCACACTGGGACTTTCATTCCCAGTGTAGAATTATTTATTCTTAGATGCTAGGCATTTTTGAAAAAGAGTAGGGATGAGTAAAGGGAGTGAGAAAGCTTTCAAATTTCTAGTGATCCTCAAAATGAATCAGCAAGTTTCCCTTTGCATATCAACTTCCCCATCAACAGATTTCACTTTGTGTAACAGCTTCTCCTTCCAGGTCTGAATTGCAACTGTATTTCATTCTTAGCCTTTGGCCCTACTCTCCTTCCCTGTTTCTATAGCATGGTTCCAACTGGCGCCTGGGTCAGGGCACAGCCTTAGGGGTGACAGCAGCAGGGAGCGTTGCCGGTAACCCCGCGTGTTCTGAGGGGGGACCAAGTCACCACCATAACGCTTCTCTCAGGTGTGACTTGGGACATCGCGAACGTTCCAGTGGCTTGGAGAGTTCGGTTTTCCCTCTTTGAGGCCATTTCCATACCACTGACTTACAATTTTTTACCAAAACAAATATTACCCCTTATTCCTCCAGCCTTTCCACTGCTTCAGCGGCCCGTTGATCTGCTCAAGCCGCAGTCTCAGTTCTGAGTCAGTGGTGCAGGAAGCGGTGCAGCCCTGAAGGTTGCCTGTCACGCAGCTTGTCCGTACCACTCAGACCCCCTCCATCAGCTGTTCCAGGATAGAGTTCTGCCTTCTGCGCGATTCTCACGCACCCCAAAGTTTGAGAACTGCTCGTTTCAATGAGATTAGTCATGTGCTCCGCAGGTTAGTGGAGTCAGACTTGTGTTTTCCAGAACATGCAGATCTGATATTTATTGGTGAGCCTTCATTTTGTACTTAGGTTTCATTCAGAGACAGGGAAGTTTGGTAGCAGTTACCCACCCAGTGTAGGGGACTTGGAGGCGGGCAGGGAGGCTCCACGTAAACATCCAGGCTCTGGTGGAATAACTTACACCCCTCTCACTTACGTGAAGTCTTTCATTTCAACTAAGTTTCCTTAGAGTCATTTTAGATATTTTGCTTTTCATTGGTTACTGAGGGATTTGGAAGCTGATGTATCTTAATCTTCTTCCTGAACCTATTAACATGAGCCCCATGGTGGCTTTCTTTTACTATAGCAGCTAGCAAATTATATATTTAGACTTAATTGTCCTCGTAACAGAAGAGAGGAATTTAGCAACACATCTGTAATGGCAAACCAAATACCTCAAATCTTCATATTATTGAGCAAGTAAAAAGATCCTTGTAGTTTTAAAACTCTTTAGAATTTATGGAATTTGGCTTTTACTATGTGAATAACACTGGCTATTATGTAGGCTTAATTGTCCTTTTAAAATATAAAAACAAAAGGTTTTTTCTCCTTTGTAGACTTAATTAAAATTATTGTTATATCTGTGATGCCATATTAACAAATTTAGGTGGCAAATGGCAAGCTAATGATAATTGTAATAGATGGCTTATTAATAAACTTCATACAAAAATCTCTTGCTGGTTAAGAAAAAGACATGAAGTAGAAAACTGGGAAAAGCACATGAATGGGAAATTCAAGAGGTATGGCTGACCCACGCACACGAACCTGGCAAACATTAAAAAAGGAAGTTAGTGTCCCGTGTTGGCCCAGCTTTTGTGGAACAGGCGCACTTCTTCATGCGGGAGCCAAGATGGCACGTTTGCTCCCCGTGGCTGCAGCCCGTTAAGAGACGTGGTGTCTTAAGACAGTGCAGATGTGTTCTTTCACACTTCAGGAGGCGGGAGGTCTGACACGGGTCTCACGGGGCTGAAGTCGTGTGTGGGGAGGGCTGTGCTACTTTTGGAGGTGGGGAGAACCCGTTCTCTTGCCCAGGATCCCGTGCTTCGTTGAATGCTCTGCTTTCACGGTCTTAAGATTGCTTGCACTGGGCTGTGCACTTGATGTCCACGACGGTTCTGCTTTGACCTCTTCCTCGCTCTTTCTTCCCCTGAGCCTGGCTTTTGGCTTAATTCTGACCTCTTTTTCCCTGGCCCCCAGGCTTTCCAGGCCTGGAGTGGTCCTGGTCTGCCCCCTGCCCCGCGGCCCCACCCTGCGGTTGACGCTCAACGCGCGCGTGCGTGCGTGCGTGTGTGTGTGCGTGTGCGTGTGTGTGTGTGTTGCGGCCTCCCCCATTCTCAGCGGTTCTCAGCCACGGGGAACCTGCTTTGTCTGCTCCCTTCTTTCTGGCTGGGGAAGTGAAAGTGTGTGTCGATCGCCAGTCGGTACCGTCTGGTCTCAGAGCCCGCTAGTGTTGTTTGGCGCTTCTCTCTTTCCTCGTGGACCATGGCTTCTAGTTTTTGGACTTCTTCTCCTTGCATCTCAGAGTGCCTTTGCCTGAATTGGAGAAGTTTTCTCTGACTTCTGCATCAGGCAGTCACGCCTTCCCTTCTTCACTGCAAACTTCGTATGTGATTGCTCCAGTAATTTCCTTTTGCGTACCTCACCGCCACGCTCCTGTCTGCTGGGTTTCCCCCGGTTTACGAGCACAGTCTGCTTCTCATACAAGGGAATCTGTGTGTTCGTGGGGCCCCATAGGGCCCCCCTGTGGCTTTGCTGTTTTCTTCTCCCGCCCTCTTCCGCCAACGGAGGCGTTTGGGCCCCTCGCCTTCTCCCGGCTGACTCCGTCCAGTCTCCAGAAGCGTATCCCACTGCCCGCTTACTGGTGACCTGTTAGTGACCCCGCTCGCCAGAGAAGCTTCCTTTTCTCGGTCCTCCTGTCCGTCGGGGCTTTTGGCAGTGCCTGGGCTGCCTCATCCCCCACCGTGTGACTCTCTCAGCCGTCCTGTCTGTTCGGGTGATCCCAAGTGTTTGCGGCTGCTGCTTGCCACTTTACAGACCCTGGTTCTCACCACTTCTGCAGCGTTCCAGCCAACAGTGCCAAAGTGGAACACGCGCTTTCTTTCTTCAGCCGCCTCCCGCCCTCACCTGTGCTCTCGGACGATGGGCGTCCGCACACGTGTGCGTGCGTGTGCACACGCACACCCCCAGCTCTCCTGCCTGGCCGCGCTCCGTGTGTTTATGGTACAGCCTCGTGTCTTCAGGGGCAGAAGTCTGGTTATGTTTTACTCCTTTTCGTTTTTTACCTGTTTGATAAGCTGCCGGATCAATGTGTGTTTGGTTCTCGTAACATCACTTGACTGCATTTTCCCTGTCCGTTTTGGTTCGGTCCTAACTCAGTACCTTGTTGCCTGTGACTTATGCCCTGAAGTATTTCGGAAACCTAATGGTTCTCTTGGCACCTAGATTACGTCTCTCCTTTGGCCTAAGATCCGTGGAGTCCCACAGCACCAGCCTGTCACTGTGCAGCTCTTCTCATGGGATGCCAGTGCCCTCCTCAGTCCTGCCGCTCCCACGCTGGGGGACCTGTGCTCCCCAGGCCTTCCGGACCCTGACTTCTTCCCTTGTCCGTAGGTCTGCCTCTCCCCGCTTCGTATGCCCCATGCCTCCCTCTTGGCCTCTCTCCAGGCTCCTCTTTAGCCTGAAACTTGCACCAGTCAGATAGGACTGGTTGAAAAAATCTTTAGTATGAGGAACATTTTTGTATTCTGGGAATATTTTGTATCTCTTCTAGGACATTCTACCACATTATAGCTACTTATGTTTATTTTATTGGCTCATTAATCTTTAACCTACATGCTTAGAGTATTAGGTTAGTATCTTGGTAATAGACACGAAATAGAAACTAAGTACTAAACGGGACATTTATAAGGTCTTGCTAGCTAGCTATGTGACTTTGAGCAAGTCATTTTACCTCTCTGAGCCTTAGTTAAATTAATTTCCGGGAGTCAAGTCAGGTGGTGAGATATATATCATCTAGAGGTTGTAGACCATTCCCTGCGTGGACCGGAGAGGGTCATGGGCTCGGACTTAGGATTGTGAAGTGACTTCTGGTCTTCAGAGAAGGGCCGCTGTCTGTTTGTTGTCGTGGTAAGGGCGTCCGTGTAATTCTAAGCCTTAGAAAGTCCGTCGACTGTGTGTCAGTAAGTCCGTACGGGAGAATTGGCAGCTGCTGTGTCCTTACCTCACTTCACCCACTCTTGGAGCTTCCGTTCCTGCCGCTCCACGGAAAGTGCTAGTCCCATAACACATAGCCTTTGTTTGGCCACACAGCCCCTTCTCCATTCCAGATGTCTCGGTGGCCTTCTGGAGATGTTCTCTTCTCAGGGCCCCTGTGTCAGCTCAGTCTCCTTGTTCTCCTTCCTCGTTGGCTGTTCTGTCTTAAGAGCTGGAAGATAAAAGCTGGAATATTCAGGATGTAGACTGGACTAGAAAATGTGTCTAGTGCATTCCTCAGTAAGAAGGTTATTTTCCTTATTTTTTTTTTTTTTTTTTTTTTTTTTTTTTTTTTTTACACACAGTAGTAATGGGCATTTCTAACTCATCTGTCACAAAGCTGATATTTTTAGGCCTTCCTATAACTTTTTTTTTTTTTTTGAAATACTATTTTTCTGTCTTCCTATCTTCTTACTGACTTACTGGAGTTTTGTAATTGTTCTCACTGAATAAATACCACAGGGTGATTCTGTGGAACTTTGGACTTAATATTGGATGAGCTCCAGTAGTGAAGAAGGAAGTATTAACTAATTTAATTGACAAATAGATGTTTCCCAGCCTGGTATACTATTCAGATTTTTGTTATAAGTTCGTGAATAAATTAAGCTGCTTCTGCCCTAGGGACTTCAGTCAGATATGTGGTTGTGGGAATCTCTTTCTTTCCCACACTGCTTTGCATTTTAAAAATTCTTCTGCAGGAAGATCCCAACATACTATAGCTGTTCGTCTTTATGCTGCCTGTTTTCCCTGGAGAGTCGGGAGAAAATCCAAATCACATTTGGTCTAGTCTAGGTTCGTGTCACTTCAGAGAGCCACTATTTTCTGTTAAATGGTCAGTACGTATTCTCATTAAGAAAAAGGGAGGCAGTGGGATATACGAAGGGGAAAGAACAAATTCGTAATACTGGTAGAGCACTCACAGATATGATGAATTCTTCTATAGGAACTGCAGTGTTTTCTCTGTTACAGAAACTTCGTATATATAAATGTGTGTGTACATATATAATGCGAATGTACCCGAGAGCATTGAAATCCTGTGTCTATACAGAAACTTACTTAGCATTCAGTTTACATCAATGTTCATGGCAGGATTATTTATAACAGCCAAAGGTTGAAAACAACCCAAGTGTCCATCAACTGATTGTCGATAAAATGTGGTATATCCATACAGTGGAGTATTACTCAGCCATAAAAAGTAACGGAGCCCTGATACTTACCTCAACATGGAGAAGCCTCGAAAACAGAATGCCAGGTGAAAGCCGTCAGGCACACAAAAGTCCACAAGGCGTGATTCCGTTTATGCGAAATGTCCGTCATGGGCAAATCCAGAATGTGCAGTGTCTGCAAAAGGTACAGGGTGTCTTTTTGGAAAGAGGAAAGTGGTCTGGAATTTGACAGTGATGATGGTTGCCCAGCTTTGCGAATATTCTAAACACCACTGAATTGTACAATTTAAAATGATGAATCTTATGGCATGTAAATTATACCACAATTTAATAATAATGATAATAATAAAGCATTCCGCGTATCAAGCCTGGTTCTCCACATAATATATATCACTTTGGGTATCATGCAGCAGGGCTCATTGGGGTGATTCCACACTCCCACATCCCTATTTGAATAGAAATAAAATTAAATCATGGACTAGGAGTTAGAAAGTATGAACTGTATTCCTGAATCTTAAGTGACTGTGGATGTTCTCACCTTTAATTCTATTGCCGGAAACGAGGATGATAATACCTACCCTTGTCAGGGTTTACCAGATTGAAGGGTTTCTGGTTTTCTGACAGCTTTCCAAAGTATCTCATACATGTAGATGTTTCATAAATACATATTAAATGAATGTTTGATTTAAAGAGATCAAGTCATGAGAGTACTTTCTAAAACGTCAAGCCCTGTACCTATGAATGAGAATATGGCTTTAACATATTCTGGTCTGTCTATTCCTGGAAATGTGAAAACAATTTGGATATTCTACTCCTGAGGTGTTTTGTAACTAATGGCCACACTGAATCAACTTCTTTTTTAGGCCTTGCAGTATTAAAACATGTGCTGACACCAAGAATAAAGGCAACTCATGTTGCTTTTGATTCTTTGAAGAATTATTTAGATGCAATTTATGATGTGACAGTGGCTTTCGAAGGGACTATTGACGATAAAGGGCAGCGGAAAGAAGCACCGTCCATGGCTGGTGAGTTTATATTTTCAGTGGGGTCCTATATTTGTGAATGTGTCATTATTCTTTTTAACGGGTAAGTAAATGTGCTTTGTAACATTTACTCCATATATTTTCCGAGGATATACTTGATGTGTTTTTCAAGTACTTTTTATTAATCCGTAACAGTTTGAATTTCATGAGTCCTGCTAAGTTTGGTATCTCCTGGTTGCCATAGGAGTCCTTTGGACTGGCCTGTTATCACTAACTCAGCCTCTTTCTACCCAAAGTTTCACACGTAAAAATGGAAGGCTGCATAAATCAAAGGGGGGGATGAGGAGGAGAGTGCTAAGCTAGCCACCCGGAGGTGTGCATCGATGGTTAGCATTCATCTTTGTGTGTACTTTTATAGAATACTTAGGAAACTCAGTATCATTGGCAAGAAGAAAAACCGTTAAATGTGGCTCCGTTTTTCAAACCTGTGCTAGGTTTTAAAGACCTTTTAGCTACTGTCTATGTGTCCTATCAGATATGACAAGAAAAAATAGAATTTTAAGTGAGTGGAATATTTTAGTTAAACATGAACAGAGACACTCTTGCCTGTTAGAGAAATTGAAATATGGGAATAAGTAAGCATGCAGGGAAGCCTGTGAAGCTGCTGCCTGAGCTCTGAGCCCGAGGTAGAACACCAGGCTTTTGATTTCACGTTGGTGGCTGTTGAAGGTCGAAGTCCCGGGCCTGGAAGAGTGTGTCAGTGGGTCCTTGTGAAGGCCGATGTCCCCAGTGTGTCCCGGAGACAGCGACCTGGAGGGAGGACGGATGGGCGAGGCATGGGGGGGCTGAGTGGTGTGGGCATCGGTCACGATGGGAGGAAATACAGATGCGAAGTAGTGACCGTGATTGCTGTCACAGTTGCCTTTGACACAGAGCAGTTGTTATGTAGGAAGCTGAAGATTTTTGTCACTTTAATTTTTTGGAATATATTTGGAATTTTTTGGAATATATTATACATCAAACAGTTTAAAAACCAAAACTTAATAAAGTTCACAGTGAAACAGCTTGCTTTCTGCTATGTCCCCTTCCCACTCAGGGTCCACCTTCCCCTGCTCAGAAGCGACCACTTTTCTTAATTTCTTATGTGTCCTATGTGCAAATTTGAGTCTGCATTCTTACTCTCCAGTCCCTCCTTCATGAGTCCTTCTTATGAAAAAGGCAGTATATTAATATTTTTCTCTTTTTTTTAACCATCAAAGGAGTCATTGACCTATTTTTACATTTGGAAACACATGAATTTAGTTGTTCAACGATATTGTCACCAGTTTATCACCATTTAAATAATGAGATTTATTAAACATGTTTTTATTATAAGTTTCTAAGAAACATATAATTCCCGTAATGACCTCTGCAACATGCCTCCATTGTGTCGCCGTCCGGACCATAAGAGCTCCTTGGGCCAGGCTCGTGTGCCCCGGCACCCCCTCGTTAGCCTGCCCTCTTGGACCATGCACCCTCACTGTCCTGCCTCTCTTCCCCCCACCCCCCTTGCCCCGTGTAGGCCACGCCTCCTTTCCAAGGGAAGCCCCTCCCCTTGCAGCCTCCCCCACTCTGCCCCCACATTGGTCTTCCAGGGGCCCACTAGCTTTCTCCTGCTTTAGCGCTCCTGCCCTCCTGCCCCACGGGGAGTGCTCAGCATGTGGCAGTTCTTTTCCTCCTCTAGACCGGAGGAGAAGGCCCTGAGGAAGCCGACCAGTTCAGAGTTGCCTTGTCTGGATCCCAGCCCTGCCCCGCTTCTGTCCCGATTCCCCTGTCTCCTACACATTAGCTGACAGAGGTTCTGTGTTTTCCTTACAGATTGTCTCTTCTTGAGAAAGCTGGCTTTTCTATCACACCCAGAAGCCATGTGGCAAATAAATCTGTCATTTCGGTCAATTAAGCGTGAATATTTCTGCAAGGAAGAGTATACCAGAGTAAAATCAAAAGACCGAAGACATACTGGGGAAAATATTTGCAATTTAGATCACAGAAAAAAGGCCTGATTGCCTTAATGTATAAAGTCCTACAAATTGATAAGAAGGTGATCAATAAGTCAGTAGTAATTCACAGGAAAAAAAGTGTTCAGTCTCATTATACTAAAAATGCAAATTGAAATTTACAGCGAGATACCGTGTTTTGCTATCATATTAGCAAAAATCCCAGTATCAGGTTTTCTTTTTTTTTTTTTTAATTTTTTTTTTCAACGTTTATTTATTTTTGGGACAGAGAGAGACAGAGCATGAACGGGGGAGGGGCAGAGAGAGAGGGAGACACAGAATCGGAAACAGGCTCCAGGCTCTGAGCCATCAGTCCAGAGCCCGACGCGGGGCTGGAACTTACAGACCGCGAGATCGTGACCTGGCTGAAGTCGGACGCTTAACCGACTGCGCCACCCAGGCGCCCCACAGTATCAGGTTTTCTAACAGGCCCTGTGGGGGAAATACTTTCCTACTTTGCTATTAGGAGTGCAGTGCAATTTAGTCCCCCAAAAGTTTCCTATCAGATTTATAAATGTGCTGCTGAGAAATCATTCTACCAGTATACCTGTCCGCACGAGATGGTTTTCCGTGTTACCTGCTGATTTTAATTATGAGTTGGGATCTGTAGCTTGAAAAACCCATCTCTCATTATTATGTAAATTGATTGATACTCTGCTCTACTTATCATCTGTTATAGATTAAGATGCACCTTCAATTTATGATGTAAATTGGATAGAAAAATTCCTTAATTAGATATAAAATTCCAGAATATTGTACATTCTGCGTCTGGGTGGTTGAGTTTAATATTAAGTATAATCCCCACACATGGTGGGCTGTCATTTAATAGTTGTATTTTGTAGCCCACTTAAAAAACATTTCCGTAGTTGCTAGATTGTTCACGTATAAGCTGTATGCCAGTCATTTCGAGCACTTCAGGAGCATTAGAACTCCATCAGAACCGTCTGGGATGGTTCCTGGCTGTGCGGGCCTCAGCACCACCCTAGACCCCCCGACCCAGGCTGGCTGCAGACAAGGGTAGACTGCAGTGTCAATGAACTCTCGGGATCACTAGTGTCACGATTCGGGCCTGAAGGAGGCGTCACGAGAGCTAGGCAGCAGTGGTGTCCCTTGTCCTTCCCATTGTGTGGTGTGTGTCATTACAAGGTGAGTGGGCTTGCACTTGTGATTCATCTGGTCTTGTCAGAGTCAGTCTTCCCTGGACGGCGTCATTGGCCAGAGGTGAGCCGGGCCCGTCTGAGTATAATGGGCTTATTTAAAATCCTGTTTCTACAAGTGGGTGGTATACTGTAATGAATTCATGAAGTTAAGGATAACATTTGATGCTCTGTTTAACCATTTAATATTGTTCTAGGTAACTTTTTTCTATTAGTATTTTCTTATATGAAAATAAAACTTACAGGTAACCCAAAAGAAGAAGGAAAAAAAACTCCACAGGCTCACCTGTGCAGATGGAACCCCAGTTAACAGTTTGGATGTTTTCCTCAAAATCTTCCTTTTCATGGTGTCCATATGTTGGAGTATGTTTGTGCCTCTGGATATTTTTTTAAATGAGATCATTTGTGTATATTGTTTTCTTTACATCCTGCTTTTATTTGCTTAATAGGGTCTCATAAACATCTTTACATGTCAGTATATGTACTTCTGTAATTTTTTAAAAATGCTACATAATATCCATTGATGTGGACATTGATGTGACTATGCCACAGTTTATCTACCCAGTTTGCTACTCTTGGATTTAGGTCATTTTTTTTTCCCCCAGAGGGAATGGGGGCAGGTAATAAGCCAGTGAGCCAGCGGTGTGGGGGCCAGTTGGGGTCCAGGGCCACATGGGCATTTTCTGCCCTGCTCCCTGAGGTCTGCTTTTCTCTTCTGTCTCCGCCTTGCCTGGCTCCCCAGGCCCAATGCGCATGGGACTCAGTTTCTCCCGAGACCAGACCCTGTGACCTGTGTGAATACTTGGAAGACTTTTGTATTACTCTAGCAGATCAGTACACTCTAGGCTCTACTAGGAAAGTTCTGATTAGGAAAAAATTATACCTTAATTAGAATACTTTTTCCCTACATATCCTAAATATTATGGGGCGATTTTTGCTCATGCGATACGAAATAAGCTCCAACTGAAATAGATATTACAAGTATAGATACACGAGCTTTATTAGACATTGAGGAAAAGATCTATGCCACTTCCTTGTCTGCTGAAAGTCATTTAGTGTTTATCTGATGATTGTCTCGTGGGCTACGTTTGGGTCCTCACGACAGACCCTGGACTGATCGGGCTCCACTGCTGTCGCTCGGGGCCTTATCCTCTCTTGGCCCTACAGGGGTAATAGTACTTGCCTGTGAAGCCTCGTGGACGTCAGATGAAATCAGGCACATGAAAGTACCATGTAAATTTTAGGGGAGGGGGACCCTAAAAGCACCCGTATGAATGTGGGAGGCGATGCCTTTTCCCTTCTCAGCTGATGTCTCATGAAAGACATCACTTCCCAGGCACTGTGGTTACAAGCATCCATTTCTGACTTGGGAGGTACGCTCACTTTTTCCTTACGGCCTGTGGCTCTGTGGCTCTGCCCCAGTGTGTGCAGTGTGAAGGAGAAATCCAGGTCCCTTGCACTGCTATTTAATTATGGAGATATGGTGGGGGGGGGGGGGCGTGGATCATTAAATGGAGGTAGGAAAATTGGTGTCAGGGTCTGCATTTTTATGTACCAGAAATGCAAATAAGAAGGCCGGCTGAGAAGTCCTTGTCACAAACACATCGAGCATCCCAGGCGCTAGGCACTGTTTCCCGGGCCCCAGCTCTCCTCACCGTGATTCTGTCAGGCAGCTGCTGTCCCGGGGTCTCTGTTTTGCAGACTGGGGAACAGGCCCAGAGAGCTAACACATGTGTTCAGGGCTGACCAGGGATCGAAACCCTGGCTGCCTGCCTCCCTGGTTGTGCTCTTAACCACTGCACAGGTCTGCTCTAAAATACCTCTTAAGCGGTTCTTGGATGATATACATGAAAATGGAACTTGAGGAGAATGAAGACAAAAATATTGAACAGTAAAATCTTCCCTATAGCAGTGCTTTGTGCACATTTATCATCAAAGCCAGTTCACTCCTAATGTATATAACCATGAGATAATTTTGATGACAGAAATGCGTGTTATTAAGGATAGCAGTGGTAAAAAAAAAAAAAAAAAAAACAACGGTAGAGAATACTTAACAAAACAGAGATGTGTGTGGAGTCAAAAGAATAGAGACTTCTTTAAGCTTCAAGTCTTCTTCAGACTGTAGAATATACGAATCACCTTTTAGAACATGGTCTTTGAACATAACTTGAGATAACAGGGTCTCCGCCCCCTTCTTGCATACCCACCGAGGGAATGAGGGAATGTAGCCTCCTCTTGGATCTCTTAGGAGCGTTCCCTGGTTCTCCAAGGAATTTAAATATGTTAATAATCTCACCTCTTCACCAAAAGCCACCTACAAAAAAGGGAATTTCCCAGCTTAGAGTTCTATTTTGTCTTTAAATAAATTCTGGCCTCCTCCCTGGTGCAACCAGGCCTGAAAAAAGACTGTCTGCTTTGTTCAAAGGAGCACGTTTTAGGAATTGTAGTTAAGAGCTCATAGCTATTCCACAAAAAGAATGTTGGTTCCTAAGCCGAATAGAATATGCGAAAATACGGCAAAGTCAAGGAGAGCAGTGAGTACCAGTGAATAGTAACCAATAGCAAGTCACAGAGGGACAGAGATCTCTCCACCATGGCTGTAGTGGGAGTGCAGTGGTGAGGACAGGCCTCCGTGCCTCCGTGCCCCCAGTGCTTTGGCAGAGTGAACCTGACAGACCTATCTCCGTCCTTCTGGGTCTCAGTCTAGTGGGAGCAGCGGAGACCACGTGTGGTGCGTGAAGAGCTTGGGAACAGCAGACTGGTGGTTCCTGCAGATTAGTGAGTCTGGAGGTGGTTGACATTTAGGGGTCCCTTCAGAGGGTGGGTACGAACTTCTAGCTGAGTCCAGCTTCCTATTCCTAGGCCATCTGTAGAACTAGAGGTTATTGTATGAAAAGTAACATTTGGGGGGCGCTTGGGTGGCTCAGTCCGTTAAGCGTCCGACTTCATCTCAGGCCATGATCTTGCAGTTTGTGAGTCTACGTCGGGCTCTGTGCCGACAGCTCCGAGCCTGGAGCCTGCTTCGGATTCTGTGTCTCCCCCTCTCTCTGCCCCTCCCCTGCTCATGCTCTGTCTCTGTCTCTTGATAATAAACAAACATTAAAAAAGTTTTTTTTGGAAGGTAACATTTGGTACTATTGATGTAACTTAATGACTTCAGGTAATTGCGGTAGACTCAGAAATTGTAACAGGTTCTTCTACTTTAGCTTGAAACCTAAAACCGTCAGTCTGTAATTCTTACTTTTAACTTTTTTTTTTTGCTAAAGAAAGAATCTGGTTTTTCATCATTTGAATGTTCTTACCTCATTTTTCAATTGTTTTCTATAACCATGAGTTCTAAAACAATAAAAAATGAAATATTTTTGTTTCTTGTTAGAATTTCTCTGCAAAGAATGTCCGAAAATTCACATTCACATTGACCGTATAGACAGAAAAGATGTTCCGGAAGAACAAGCACGTATGAGAAGGTGGCTTCACGAGCGCTTTGAAATAAAAGATAAGTGAGTAACACCAGTTCTTCCGCTTGAAAACCTTGGGTTCGGCTAAATTTCACTATAATACAGTCTTTTTATCTTAAGAATGCTTTTTTATAAACTCAAGTCCAATCTGTCCATGTTTTAAGCCTCACTGTTACAAAGTCCCATGAAAGAACTTATTACAGGAGGCCTCTGTTTCCATTCATGGTATTTCCTAGACACTGTTCTGTGGGGGGATATGAGATTAGATCTCTCTCTCTCTCTCTGCCTCTCTCTCTCTCTCTCTCTCTCTCTCTCTCTCTCACACACACACACACACACACACACACACACACACACACCCACCCACCCACCCCTGCAGTCCCAGGTCAGACGAGGCGATGCTGTGGTTGAGGGCTAGCTGGACTGCCCACGTTCCCGGGAAGCGAGGCTGTGGGATAGAGGCGTTAGTCTGATGTACGTGTGGAAATGACGTGGGTGTACTGGTTCGAAGAGGAAGGGGCGGGTGACATGTTTCTGACCAAAATGTCTTTTTGCTGTTAGTATTTGGGGCCTAAATGGTTTTAGGCTTGACCTTGTGTTTGTCCATGCTAATAACATCACTTGGAGCAAACAGTGTTGACCCTTGCTGAGCGTTACCTGTAAGTAAAGTACAGGTGTGTTTAGATACCTGTCAGGTGAGGCACAGCTTAGCGTCAGGCTGAGGGAGGGGATGTGACGTGCCTGGAAGAAACAGGTGTCCCTGGGAATAGAGTATATCAGAGCCCTTTTGATTCAATATACATTTCTTTTTTTTTTAATGTGTATTTATTTTTGAGAGAGAGAGAGGGAGACACAAATCTGAAGCAGGCTCCAGGCTCCGAGCTGTCAGCACAGAGCCCGGCGCGGGGCTCGAGATCATAACCTGAGCAAAGTCGGACTCTTAACCGACTGAGCCACCCAGGCGCTCCTCCTACAGATTTCTAAAGGAAGAAATTTTAGAATCTTCTTCTGTTTTTAGGAAGATAAAAAGTGCATCTCGGTTTTTATTTAATACTTAAAAATTGAGTTTTCTTGGGGGAAAATTTTAGGACATATTATTTATTTTCTGTTTGTTTGCTGTCAGTGGAGGTTTTTATCCTTTCTGATACATACCCTGTTTTTTGAAAGGTCCGTTTTAAACATCTCTATTTTTTATCCTCCTTTTGAAAACAATGGGTCCACTAATTACGGGATGCATCATTTACTAAAACCACATTGAGACGTGTGGAGTTCTTACAGACTCAGAAGTAGGACTTCCAAAATTATGTTGAGAAATTTTACTTACTTCCTTCTCCTGACACTCAGCAGATTGCTTCGTGCCCCCTGTCTTGTTGTTTTACAGTAAAATTATCTCATTAGTCCTTCTATGTTAACTCTAAGAAGTGAAAATTACTGAAAGTGTGCTGCATTGAAAATGAAACTTCGTGAAGCTTATAGACAAGTAGCTGGATTCCTGTGTTCCGTTGACTGTCACTTGCATGTGACAGAATTGATTCAGCCAACCATTGATGCCACCCACTTTGGTTGTGGAAGAAATTTCGAAAAGTGAAATACAAGTGTTTTGACATGAAAATCAGTTCTCAGATAAAAAGCCTGAACAATATGTTTAGTATCCAATGTATTTTGTGGTATCGGTGCTTATGTGTACTTAGACTGAGTCTGGACGTTTTGAAACAGTGGTTACTTTAGAGAATGTGTTCTGGTAAAAGAAGCATTTTCCGTTTTTTATTTGTGTTTGAGAGTTTTATGCTGAGTCTGTTCTGCTGTAAGTTTATATTTTTTAAGTAAGATAGGAACATGAGTTAACTAGGCTGTTTTTCTAATTCCATGCAAATAAGGTGTTTGGGGGGAAACTCCATATATGTTACCAGAACTGCTGATCTTTTCCTTGACTTTCTGGTAGAATGGGAGGTTTAGGAGGAAGGAGGAAGGATTCGGGAAGCGAGATGGGTTATTACCATGTGTGAAAAATTATTAAAAACTTAAAGTTAAAAGACCAGAATCATCCCCATAAATTTACTGAAAGCCATCTTTTAAAAAATGTACATATAATTCATCTACACTAATCATGAGCATATTAAATATATTTTTCAGGTCTGGAAACTCCAATTAAATCAAGTCCCTGGGTATTTTCCTTATTCATCTTTAGTTCCCAAGGAACTGTAACTTCTCCAGCATGTAATTATCATCTAGTAGCTCTCTGTTAAATTAAAATCTTAAATGACTAAACCTGAAACTTTACATTTCTTTTTTTCCATTCTGACCCTAGGTTGCTTATAGAATTTTATGATTCACTGGATCCAGAAAGAAGAAACAAGTTTCCCGGAGAAAGTGTTAATTCTAAATTAAGTCTCAAGAAGACTTTACCGTCATTACTGATCCTAAGTGGCTTGACTGCTGGTATGCTTATGACCGAGGCTGGAAGGAAACTCTATGTGAAAACGTGGGTTTATGGAACCTTAATCGGCTGCTTGTGGGTTAGTATTAAAGCGTAAACAAGTAGCCGTGTCCAGGCAGTGGAATGTGCTACGCGGTTTACTGTTGGCAGCCACACGGGACATCAGATTGTTGCCTGAATTTAATGAGAAGTGTAAATAAAGCCTTGTTGATTGAACATTGGATAAAATAGAATTTCTGACTAAAGCCGACCTGCAGGTGGTCTTGGGCAAACATACGTGGTTTTGCAACTTTAGAACAAGCTGCTGGAAGGGGAAAGCTAACCTCTGTGCCATCCTTGGTGTTTCCGTGATCTAGCGTCGTCTTCAGAAGATGGTTAGGATTGTATGCTTTGGTATCGGTTCGTGACTCAGATGGCTGCATTCATGAACGTTAATTTGCAGCGTATTTCACCGTACTCGTTATTTTTAGTTTTTTACAACCTGACTAGTCCCAACTCTCATCACCGAAGTATTTAGTATCTTGCAGCTGTGTACTGTTTTGCCTTTTGCTTAATGTCTCCAAGTGGATGAAGGAAATTGTATTTATGTATCAAGAAGGATGCAAGGAAAAGGTCAAGAAATGTCTGCGGGGAAGAAGCTGTGGTTTGCGCATGCTTTGATTGTAGTGTATTATTAGCTGATTTTATTTTCTCTTTGCAGAGTAATTAACATGTCTAATATTTATTGAAGCAGCTTAATTTGCACGCCCTGCATTGTACACAAAAGGATAATGTGTCAAATGTGAGCGTTGAGTTTCGGTTGGAGGCGTGACCCTGGCCCGCTGTCGCGGCACTTGACGCTGCCCAGCGTTCTGAAGAGCAAAGCGGAGCCCTCAGTACGTCCCAGTGTCTGTGCCAGAATTGCTTAAAAGCCTTCAGCCTTCCTGTTATTTTTACATCAAAACAATCAGTGTGAACCTTGGTGGGACCTGAGTCCACAGATGCTTGAGGTGATGGGAGCCTTCAAACGTCCGCCTGGATTTCCGAGCATGTGCCTTTTGCCTATTATTACTCTTGGGTTCGGCGGAAGTCTTTTCTTTTCCTGTCATCATGGTCGATTTCCACTGTGTTTGAATTCTTTTCCTCTGGATTCCTGGCAGCGTGCTGCTCGGTGCCTGGCACAGGACGGGCGCAGGGGAGAAGCATGGAGCCGGCCTCGGTCCTGCTGCGGGTTGAACTTGGTCGGTGAGGCTCTCTTGAGCCCGCCCCAGTGGCTGCGGCTAAGATGCTCGTCTGTCTCCCTCCTCAAGCCAGTGAACCACAGGCTCAGCCCGCGAGGCCCGGATGAACTCGTGGAGTCCCCACTAGTTTTAGTGGGGAGTCCCCACACAGTTCATCCGTGCCCCCCTCAGAACAAGAGCCGTTTTCAGTCAGGAAGTAATAACTATGGCCTGTGGCTGACTTAAACTGGATTGTTGCCTACTAGTCCCTTAAGGTAACATTTCTGCCTAATGGATTTTTGTTGTAAACTCGTGCCAGTGCCCCCAGATGAAACACACCAACTGAACCATAATGAGCAAAATGAAAATAATAAGTAAGGGAAATTTTGTGTGACTGACTCTCCAGACCCAGAGAGCAGGCCGTGTGAGACAGCACCTTTGAAGCTCTGGGTAGTCTGAACTGGTTTGTGTATGTGTGTATGTGTGTGTGTGTGTGTCTGTGTGTCTGTGTGTCTGTGTGTGTGGGGGTGGACATGTGCCCGCAGGATATGGTTGGTCTCCTTATGCATGGGGGTGTAGGTAAAACTTCTGAAAAGTGTTCCCATGCCAAATTGTGATTTTCTCTTACCTGTAAAGTGAGATTTAAATCAGTCTCACCGTCTTTGTTAATACTTTTTTTAAACAGTCCTAAAGATTGAACCGATTTCTAATTTATTCAAAGTAAATGTAAGTTGCGTAACTTACTTTGAATATCATGGATATGCTCTAAATTTAAACTTTAAGAAGAAATATCATTGGAATTATGTTGATTATAACTGATCATAAGAAGTTACAGTGAACTGCATAAGATCACTTTGAACATCATGTCTCTTATGACCATACTTATATTCTCACAAGAGTTCTATAAGATATATTTGTTAGTTTAAAAATTTTGTATTAAAATATTTGGAAATTAGAAGCTTCTTTTTAACATGTGTTGATATGACTTGAATTCTTACTTTCTAAAATTAGGAGCCCTGGATCTCCCTGTAAATCTTTTCACATATCTTTTAAGCCTGTGTTTCTGTTATTATTGTTGATTTGCAGCTTAGTTATTACTTAGTTTTTCTTTATAAGAATGCCATCAATGTGCATGCTTTTATGTTTTCCAGAAAAGGGTGTGTTTGGATGAAAGTAAAAGAAAAAATAAAATCTTTCACTGTCTCTAATGTCTGTGCTATTTAACATTTTGCGACCCAGAAACTCCCCATTGGTCTTCTGTTACGTTGACTAGGCTTCGTGGCTGGTCTTGCATTCTGAATTTATAAAATTATAATATTTTTTCTTAAATATTGAACAAGTATAAAAAATACAGGACTCAAAATTGTGAAGCAATATATTAGTTTTGTTATATAAACTCCTATTTTATGCAATGAATATAGCAAGTACTAATTGCTTGAGAATTCTGTAATCATTAGGGTATCTCACTGAGACTTGTCCAATGCCTAAATTTAGCCGGGTTGGTAGGGAGAGTAAAGATCTGACTGGTCCTTACATCACACATACTGCTGCCTTCTTCCAGGTTGGTAGAGAAAGGGCCATCTGACTGGTCCTTACATCGTACATACTGATGACTTCTTCCATTTATTTCATTTCCATGGGATTTTTTTTCATTTATAGTCATACCAACTTTCCTTCATATCCAGATTATGTAAGCTTTATTTTTCTTTTGTAATGCTGTGTGGTTTGTTTTTACATTCAGTGAATGAATCTTTGTCAGTAAAGTGATCTTTTAAATAGATGGGCCATTATAAAAATACAGTCTATATGAAATTTGTCCTCTCCCAAAATGTGCCATCAGGAATAGATACAAAGGGACTGCCAGATACATATCTGACTCATTTAAGAAGCTCGAGAAATGTCTGTCACGGTGCTATTTCGTGTGCACAGTTGTAAATGTATAGTACAAATAGATTTTAACCATCGTAGTATTTGTTCTTGACGTATTAGATGAAAGACAAGATGGCCAACACTCCAGATACCACCGTGTAGTAAGTTACATATCTTTATAAGTAGGTTTTGGGGGGCAGGGGGAGGGGTTAGACCAGTTTTTATTGTGAGTTACACATACCTTCAGGTTAAAAGACTGGCTGACTTAGAATGTTGCCTTATCAGTTAGTATGCTTGGCATTATACAAATTGTTAATTTGGAAACGTTCAGATATTTGATATTATATAGGTAAAATAACTGTGTAATCAAATTTAAAATTTCCTTCAGATATCTGTACGCGGTAGATCTACAGTTACAGACTTAGTTGAGAGTAGTTACGGCACGACATTATCCCCAGGATTTCATTTGACACATTTTCCAATTTGTGGGCAATGAAGTAAATCCATAACTTTTACCAACCGGGGAGTCATTCTTGGTGTAGTCGTGCATGAGGTCAAAGAGACAAATACCTTATCCTGAGCAGGAAAAAAACACAAAGTTATTTTTCAGAAAGCCACTCCAGATGGAAAGCTTGAGTTATTTCTGTTGTTAAAGGAAAGTAGGATCCTGTAGGTGATACAAACTCGCAGTGAATGTTTTCTGATGGTCCGTTACTCCATCCAAATTAGTAATAGCTCATGATTTTGTATGTGAATATGTAAGAAAGACCTGTTCTGCAATTTTATTTTTATAAATCATTATGTCCTAAAAAAAAAAAAAAAAACAAATGCTACTGATACTCTCTGTGTGTTCAGCAGGAGGGAATATTCGACTAACAGTCTTGGCTCCTTATGATGTGTTCGGAATAAATTGTGATTTCTGTTCTCGAGTTTATTGGTGCTTCATTAATCCAGAAAAGAAAAAGGAAAATCTAAATCTCAGAAGTTACTTGGTGATACATAATACATCTATTTCACGTATATGTGATAATATGTATGTTTTATATACGTATATGTTTTACTGCCAAACAATAGCTACAGAATACATTATTTTAAGATTTTACTTTGTTTTGATACTTGCCAAGATGTGTTGAGTGCTCGCCGTCTGCTGGGCAGGGCGCTAACCTCCTCTGAGGCTCTCTCCCTCCACACACGTGGCCCCCAGGCTGCAGGCCGGCTCAGCCTTGAGGTCAACGGGTACAGGCCGAAGACCAGTTTTGGGTCCTGCTTCGACCACTCGGGATTCAACCTCGGACAGGTTAATGTTTCGGTTTCCACTTCATGTTTCTGTTGAAAATTTCCCAATTTTCTCTTCTGTCAAATAGTGATAATAATTAATATATTTACCTCAAAGGGTTGCTGATGATGCAGTAAGTTACCAAACCTCTGGATGTAGGTAGGGCATGAAATGTGGCAGGTGCTAATTAAATCTTGTCCTCCAACTACTCTTGCTCTCAATTTTACAGCTGAGAAAACGGAGACTTGGAGTTTGAATAAAATACCCGAAGTCACACTAATATTTCTAGTAGAAAAATGTCTGCCCACTCTTTCCTGCTTAACAAAGATGTATTTCATACCACCTAAATGCCTTTAGAAGTAGATAGTCATGGGACACCTGGGTGGTCGGTTGAGTGTCCAACTCTTAATTTTGGCTCAGGTCATGGTTCCAGAGTCGTGGGATCAAGCCCCGCGTCAGGGTCTGTGCTGAGCACGGAGCCTGCTTAAGATTCTCTCTGTGTCTCTCTCTCCCCTACTTGTGCTCTCCCTCTCTCTCTAAAAATAAAATTTGAAAAGTAGATGGTCATAACTGTAATCTTAGTCGCTTAAAGATATTTTGCTTAAAGTCTAAATCAAACAATACAGAGATTACAAACGGAAAGATTGTCTATCTTTCATGAGAAAATTTCATGGTCTCCAAACCAACTCCATGTTGGGCTTGAGGGCTGGGGTGGGGGTGGGGGGTTGTTGCCTGTCCCCTGCGTTGGTAGCACAGCCTTCACGATGGCAAAAGATGATATGAAATGGCAAATAGATTCGAAGATCTTTCCTGATAGTGGCACAGAGAACAGTAATATTTGAAATTGTTCCCCTGAAGGTCATTCACTATAGGAAATCCCAAACTCCAAAATGGTCTGTGTTGCATCACTACATGTATATAACCTTAAACAAACTACCTTCCCTGTTTGAGCCCTTGTTTTTTTTTTGTTTTTGTTTTTTTTTTGAGAGAGAGAAAGAGACAAAGTGTGAATGGGGGAGGGGCAGAGAGAGAGGGAGGCCCAGAATCCCAAGCAGGCTCTGGGCTCTATCAATAAAATAAGGAGATTGCTTATTTGCCGCCTAGAGTTTACTGCGAGTCAAAGGAGATAATAGTAAAAATGCATTTTTATATAAAGTTCAACATAAATGTGAGACGTTACTATAATTCTTCCTAAATCGTTTCGGCTTTACTTTCTACAGTGTGTGAATAAGTCCATTCTTCTCTGATGCATTTTGGAATTCAAACACATGATCGTTAACACTTGTTATTTTGAAATGTTTTCAGTCATTCAGTGGTCTGTCCATGCACACTTGAGTTATTGTCTATTTGGGTCAGGTCAGTTTATAATTTCTTTTTATTTTTTTAATGTTTATTTTTGAGAGAGACAGAGCACAAGCAGAGGAGGGGCAGAGGGACAGGGAGACACAGAATCCGAAGCTGGCTCCGGGCTCTGAGCTGTCAGCACAGAGTCTGACATGGGGCTTGAACCTACGAACTGTGAGATCACGACCTGAGCCGAAGTCGATGCCTAACGGACCGAGCCACCCAGGCGCCCCTCTTTACAATGTACGGACAGTTCATTGCTCGTGACCCCTGGGTCTTCTCCCTCCCCAGTGCCCTCCTCGTGTAAGGCCCCTGGAAGGGTGTGGAGGGGAGATGACAGAGATCTGTTCTCCCCGTCCCAGTGTCTTGTCGCGGCCGCCATGGGAGGTGAGTTCTCATCCGTGCAGTGGAGACAAGGATGGAGCGAGAAGGCGGTTTGGAAGGAAGAGCGCTTGGAACAAAGTGTGCATGGAACAGACTTGGAACCAAGGAGGACATGGGGAGTCAGGGCGTAGGGCCGCGGGAGAGGAGAGCGTGTCCGCCTGGAGAACACCTGCGGGGGGTGTGTGTGCTTGCTTCGGCTGGTTTGATTTTATTCCAAATGGTGGGAGTTGAAGTTTGGCCTTTGAGTAGAAAGCCTGGCAGAACTGTGAGCATCACAGCCCTCGTCTCCCCCCATCCACCCCCCCCCCACCAAGCCAGAGCAACATGCGGCTACGTGTGGTGCCCCCTCCTGTCCCCACAGTGTTGTCACCGCACCAGCGTCATGGTTCGCAGACCCCGGTCCAACCAGGGCGCTGCTCTCCAGCCGAGTCCGCGGACTCGGGGCGACAGGAAGGCCCAGTCGCTCCGCACGCTGGACTCGGCCCTCCCTGCGGTCTGACCATCAGCGGGCTGTCCGCGGGGGTCCTCCTTCCTAGGAGGGGGCTCCCCTGAACCCAGGGAGCGTGCTGCTGTGCTCCGGGCGAGCCGGAGAGCGAGGGCACCCCCGAGTCAACCTGGACCCCGCCGTCGGTTACACATTCGTGCGTCTCTCAAAATCGTGGCTTTCTGTTGTTCACGTGGTGGAAACAAGGGTCTTTAGAATTCATTTTATCTTTTAATGTCTCTTTATGAAGGAGATTGGGGGAGGAGTGGGGGGGGGGAGCACGGGTTCCGGGGCCAGGACACCGGGGCTTGAATCCCAGACCTGCCCCTCGCTCGCTGTGGGAACTTGATCTCCTTCCCGGTCTCTGATGCCTTCATTGTAAGCTAGAGACTCTGATGGTGGGACCTGCCCCCTAGGCGGGCGTGAGGACTAAATGCCCTCACCTCCGTAAAGTACCTGCATTCGTTTCTGTCGCATCCTCTGGGTAGCGCTGGTTCTCGGCCAGCTCTGTGTCCCAGTGATGGCACCGGCCCCCCTGCCCGACGTCCCAGTGCTGGGTAGTGGACTGCAAGTTCTGTTATCCTTGTGCCTTTTGCTGAAACCCCCTCATATACTCCGCCCACATGTACGTCCATCTGCAAGTGGGTTCTGCCGTATACTAGAACTCGCAACGTTTTGCTTTTAGGTTATCGATACGTTGGTCCGCTTCGGCGTGTGACAAACACAGACTTGACCTTGTGACGTGAAATAAAGTATATTAAAAACAGCCCAGACAAGGTATCCTCTGTTCTCGTGTGCTAATGTCTTTGTTTTTGTCTCTGTATTTCCTCCCCTCTCTCTGTTTCTAGAAG